CTGACTACACTGGTCAGGTGAGTTGGTGAGTGTTTTCTCTTGAACTTGGTTGAGTATGTTTATCAACCCTTCACTGTATGCTCGAATCTGCCCGAGCCTCGTGACTCTGTGTACGTCGTCTCAGAAAGCGGTTGTCACCGTGTAACCCTACTGTTACCTTGAGACAGTGGAATAGGACTTAAGTAGAGCATTATACACGTATATTAAATATCTGAATAAGGTATTTATCTAATGGTACGTATGATAACATAATCTGCAACTGAGATAATTAGCGTACTAGATACAATGATATAGTACATACTGTATTCAATATACGTGGTACATGTACACTATCCCTACTATACGATATACATTAGGTATTGTAGTCATGAGCACTTATTGTATTATGGTTAAGGTGTCTAACGACTGAAAAGTAGACAGCTTCACGGTAGCGGTTCGTTAGCAAAAAAGCTCACTGGCTTCGATTCTCACCATCGGCTGCTATTATGATGGTTGTACCACAGTATGTCACGTGCTCCAGTATTGCTGTTTGGAAAGCAAACATTCAGTTGTTCGTCGTCATGTTTGGCAGTCCAGTGGTGCTCGTCATTACTTTATGACGTACACTTGAGTGAGAGGAAGCTCAGTACTTTACGTATTCGGTTCAAAAGCTTGTAGTTTTCAGTGCAATTGAAGTTGAATGGATGAGAATGAAGCCTAATCGTATCTTAGGTGTAGCCCTACTGCTATGTAGTGTGCATTAAGTGCAATGTACAGCGGATCCACCATTGACTTAAAGACGCAAGGAGACAGTCATGAAAATAAACTGAAAAAAACAAAACCTAATATCATGCCTTCAGGTTAAGAACAACGTATGGTATTTCAAGCGAAACTGTTGTTGTAGAAAATTCCCTCAGTCTGAGCACCGGACGTGCTTATATGCTATCGATCTTGGCTCTGTTTAAATGCATTCCCCACACTCCATAGAAGCAAGAGGGCAGTGAGACATCGCCGCATAACCCGGGGCCATGAGTCACTTCCAACAACGGTAATGATGTAAACTTCCTTTACAGGTAGTTATAAATGTAAAATCATAATAAACTATAGCAAATACCTAATGTTAGTAACGCCGATACGACTACAAAAATTGGTGAACACGTGGTCAGTGACCTCGTTGAGTCTGCTCTGTCTATCTCTGATGTTCTTTTCGCGCTCCTTCATACGGTTTTCGACATCGACCATTTGAGGCGTGTACATGTCGTACTCGTTTCGATGCTGCGTCAGTTCACTGTTCAGGTTGGCCAGCACCCGCTGTTCCTGAAAAACACAATAAATACGTAAATGGGGCAATAAAAATTTTTTATTAGAATTATTACTATATTTTCTTTATCGGTTATCATGTACTTCACTCTGGTTTCGAGCTGCTTGATGCTATTTTGCATCAGGCTGATGTCCGACTCCTTCCGTCGAATTCTGTGTAACTCCTTTTGATGCTCGATGATCTCGAGACGTCGAGTACGAAGGTGAGCGACAGCTTTCTCATCCCAACGTTTCGCCTTCGCCTTCAGGTCGCTAGGAAAATTGGGCGTGTTAATTAAATTTGGATTCAAAACTAACAGAATTCCTTAACAATAAATACTGGTTAATTTGAAGAGAACAGAAAATTAGAATTATGCAAAATCTTCGAAAACCATGAATAATCGAACTGAGTATTAAATAAAGACATTAAGTATAAAAAGCAACAATTCCAATAGGTATGTTTGCAGAGATGAACACGAAAATATCTCTGAGAGAGCAAATAAAAGAAATTTAAAGGTCATCACTGTTATCTATTACAAAATAACATAAATGATTAATAGATACACCAATATCCGTAAAAAATAAAAACAACGTTTAAATTTGTCATTAGTTTCGTTAAATAATTTCTGGAGATTCATAAACGGGACGTGTTGCATGAGCTCGGGAAATTTTCATAGGTAGTCACTGGCAAATCTTGTACCTGCCTCGTAATTATATGTCATTGGCCAGGCTAGTTCGGTTTCTCGAAGACGGTCAAAAATTTATGTGCATAGTGTAACAAAACTATTTTATGGTGAACTGAAAAATATTTTTCAACAATTTTAAAAAATTTTACAATTTAACTGGCGCTTTTTACGCTGTATAATCAAGTTTAATCAAGGTGTACTGTAGCTAAAACCGCACAAGTCAAGTAACATGACCGTATGTCTTGCAAATTTAGCATGACAACAGAAAACGCCATGCTATCCTTATTATTCGTAGGTCAACGCCGCGTGTGGGATTGTTATCTCGCACTTTAAAGCAAGCTACTAACCGATTGCGCGTAACTGCCCCATCTTCTGCCCA